GACGATTACAAACAGCTGAAGCTTTAAATCTCGTCCACAGAATATTTGAAGGATCTAATTATTGATTATGCCTTGCATTAACTTAACTTTTCTCCTCCTCCTACTACGAGTGATTTGAAGGTTTTCTCATTCCTTTCGCACATTTTTTAAAACAGCTGTAAGGTCATGTGTGTGCAAAACTTTGTTAATGACACTTTAATAAGAGAACTAATACATTGAAAACATAGGCTTATAAGTAAGAGGTAGGATGTAAACGCAAAATGGTCAAGGTCAAACAGGAGTATCTGTTATATACAAGTAAACTAGCTCATAGCTTTGAAAAACGCCTAAATTCGTGTTTGCAAAGAAAACTCAGTATTTTTTGTTATGTAAATAAACCTTGTTATTTCGATTTTACCGTTCTGTTGAACTATTGGTTTAAACAGAAATGAAACATGCTTATTTGTAAGTATAGAAGTTATACATCAGGCCATGATCAAAAAGCATCGTTAAACGAGTCAAACTTACAGATGTACCATTCTCCTATCTCGTTCTTTGACATTATTTCTGACACACAGCTTTAACTAAACGTTTTCTCCAGTGGAAGTATTGACGGTGACTGGCTGGCTCTGAAAAAGAAGTTTTTCTATGTGATTCCAGTTTTCCACGTCATGGTGGAAAACAGCACTGACCGTTTCGTTGGGGTGGTCTCCTTCGCCTGTTTGCTCTTTGTGATTGGTGCAGTGGCAGTGGTAGCTAAACTTCATTGTGACATAATTTCTACAGCAAAGCAGGCAGAAGAAGAATTAGCCAAGTTTAACGTAAGATCAGTTCACTGCACAAGTTCATGACCTCAATTAAAGCCCAAATTCAGATTGTTCATGAGGAGTTATGGAAGGAAACTCTCAAGTTGGTGGACATTTACGGAAGGAACATTGAAAAGAGGAATGTTGTATGTAAGTGATTGGATCTGGTCTCTCTGCAGCTCTCGAAAAGCTTGAATTGAATGAATCCCTACAGATCAAAACCAAGTACGCCAAATTCCCAACAGACACTATGTACTAAATCATCAACCTCAGCGTAACAGGCGATTTTATGTCACGGCACCGTCA